AGTCTGGTGTAATCCCATCTCCTTTCTGAATAGCCCTTAAGTCACTTAACGTATGCTTAACCCAAAGAATCCCTAAGACTTATTTCCTTGATGTTGGGAGGGGGGCACACAGACATACACACACACACACACACACACACACACACACACACACACACACACACACTCATACATGCACACTGCCACGGGCAGGCCTTCTCCACAGCATCTTCCCTTGTGCTCCTGGGACATTACCTGGCCACAGGTCCTCCTGTACTGCTCATTTTCAGTCAACACCCCTAGCACGGTTCTCTGTGGGGGATCCTGGCCGAGCTGAGCTCGAGTGAGCATCTGGCAAGCCTCAGGACCTTGGCCCACTGGAGGCAGAGCGACTCCACTCTTGAAACTGTGGCGACGCATCGCCTAGCAAGCCGCAACCTGCTGCTATCCAGGAAAGAGAAGGAGACACAGTTAGTCAACCCTCTCAACCTGGGAACCCAAGAATGCAGAGAACTCTGGAAGGAAGAATGCCGAGCCCCGGGGTCACCACCAATTTCTCAATTTCCCAACAAACATTAAAGTCAGTGTTCCCTAGCAGGCGACAGTCCTAGGCATCGGAGCAACCAACTCAGAACCAAACAATGGTTGACTAGGCTTTAATCTGACCCCAGGCTGAAGGGTGCAATGAGAGGAGAGAGAGCCTGCCAAACTCCACGTCGGGATTCTCAGCCCACATTGATTGGGGGGTTGGAGGGGGGGGGGGATGCGGGAATGGCACTGGAGAGGCTAAGTCTTTCTCCCCACCTTCCCTGACCTCGGACTAAATCCAGGATCTCTGGCTGCGAACAAGTGATTCTCTTTCCCAAGTGACAAGCAGGTGCTTCTCTCACCAGAGGAAGGCCCCCAAACCTGCTTGGGAACCCCAGCCGGCCCTGATTCTCAGGTTCTTCTCCGTCTGAGCGGATTAGCAAGCGCACCCAGGTCGGGGCGGGGCGGGCGGGGCCTGGCGCGGAGGGAGGGGACCCGGAGCGGAGAGATTCCAGGGGCGCCGGCTCCAGCGGCTAAGGCTGCGGCGCTCGCCACTGAGCACTTTCCGACCCAGCCGCGTCTGTTGAATCAGCCAATCAGAGACCAGCCCGGGCCCCTCCGAGCGGCTTCCATGCCAACCGCGACCGGCGTGCGCCCAGGTCCTTATCGCCCTGGCGACCGCTCACCTGCAGCGCCGCCGGCTGATGCTCGGCTCCCGGGGCGCTGCGCAGCCCCGGGCTCCTGAGCCTCAAAGCTGGGCGTGCCGGGTGCACCGCGCTGCACGTCGCCACTCGCGCCCCTCTGGCCGGCGTCCGCAGGGAGGGCGGACGGCGGCCTGCCCACGGTGGCCACCCTGGAAAGGACTGTTCCCCAGGAGCCGGTTCCCCCAACAGCTACGAACCCCTCCCGCCAACGTCTCCTGCGCGGCCTGCTCCCGAGAACCCTGGCTCGGGAGAGCGACGCGGGGCCCTCGGGCTGCGGCCGCGGCGCCCTCCAGGTCGGCCCGAGGGCGCGGCTCGCTCCCCTTCCTCACCTCCTTCTCCAAGGCGCCTGCCCCGGGGGCTCCGGACCCTGGGTGGCTGTGGACTGGGCCACATCTCTACCCATCATGATGTCCAGGGCCCCCAAATGTGGCAAGGAGAGCTGGGAGAGATTGGGGGCCGTAGGGTAACTCCCGGTGCCCCAGATACCCGGGAGAGATCTTCCCCATGGGCACCCAGTGGCACCGGGAAGAGGAAGGAACGCGGAGAGGTGTTGGGGCTTGGGTATTGAGGGGGCACAAGGACAGATTCTGAGCTGGGGTCATTGGGCCAGTGACCTGGCCACGTGTGAAGGGAAAGTCCCAGGACTGGGGGTGGGGGTGGGGCTACAGCCAGAAAAAGGGGTGTGAGCATCAAGGCAGTTCTTGAATCTTGGAAACCCTGGCACCCACGGAGACGACAGGCAATCAACAAACTGAGTTACATAATTGGTTAGCTTTATTTGAACAATAATGAATGTGTACACACACCTACGTGTGCACAGGATATAAACATATATCGGGATATGTGTATGTGTGCGTGTGTACATATACATCCTGTTCCTGCTTTTGCTTAAAAACAAAAATCCGCCCCTGAACTCTCAAAGCAGACCCAAAGGCCATTCAAACTTTAAGCTAAGGTCATCAGATGCCTGCCTAAGTGTAGTAATTGATGTGTTCACCAGAGAAAGCGTTAGCAGATGTGAACTGTCTCAACGAAAGCACAAGATCCCAGGAAAAGTGTGGACTCAAATGAAGACGACTTTGCGAAGGATTCCAGCAATCCTCACTGGATGCAGAAGTGCAAAAATTCTTTGTTCAGTATGACAGTAATTCCTATACGTTGCATCCTCTAGTTCCTGTGCCTTTGAATCTGAAGACAACATACTGAATCCAGAAATGTCTTGACTGCTGCGACAGATGTTCCAAAGCCAGCCAGGGGCAAAGGAGTTGCTTTGCAAGGTGCTCTGCTTGGTGATGGCAAACATCCTCTGTGACTTCCTGGAAATCTTCCAGAAAGCAAAATCGCTGTTGTGATTCCTGGGGCGGCTGAAGGTCGCAGCTACCTCCCTCTGAAGCCTGGTAGCAAGTCCTAACAAGAGCCAGAGTGTCTTGGGAGGGAACAAGATTTGTTCTGGAGGCTTGAACGTTCTGTGTCCTTTTTGATCTGGTGCCAAACACTGAGGGGGTTGCTTCTAGGAGCCTTCTTTTCAATCTACTCAATTCCTAGGACTGGAGCTTAAGAATCTAGTCAGAACCTACAGAAAAGTCTATGGTCATTAGGCTGTCTTTACATAGACAGATGAGAGATGTTGTTGGGGGAGGGGAGATCGCCAAGATACTGGGGGAGATTGAGTATGACCTAAAATTTATTGAAATCCTCAAAGAATGAGTGAAAAAGAAAATAATTGAAATAATTAAGTGGGTCCTCAGATAAAATATGCCTTTTGTTCTAAAATCACTCTTTTGAGTAGCTGATCAAGCCTTAATTCAAACACAGTTTTAGCATTACGTTAACACTCCTTTCTTCTCTGCACTTTGCCATGATTAACAAAGGACATGATTTTGTATTTTCTGATTTCTTTCTGTGCTGTTTCAGTTTCCCACGAAATTAGAATCCTCTGGGCATATTTTAAACTAACCAGGTGAACTGATTGTGTGTGTGTCAAACAGAAAAACCAAATGCTTTGTAACTTATACAGTACTTAAAGTTTTATTGTGTGAACTCTTTTCTAGGGAGTCGAGAGCAAGTCAGCTTACCCCAGATAGAGCACCAATGGCAGACCAGTGTAGCTGGGTGAGACAGTGAGTTTATTCATCTTCTTTATAGGCGCATGAGTGATCCCCAACCAGCCACATCATTAAACTGTCACTCCAGTCTGGAAGATGACATCCCGACAGCTACACAGATGGAGTCCCCTTGATGATGATCGCTTCTTCACAACTCTGCAAATGGGGTTCTGGTCTATGGAGTGAACTAAGTCCAATTAGAGAGTAGTTAGTTGCACCCATAACAGTGAGGGCATTTCCAGGAAGTACTAATTTTGGGAAGAAGACCCCCCCCCCATAGGTGGACCCTTCCAGAAGTTAGCCCAGATACAAAGAAGTCTAAAGAGGCCTATAGAGACGGCTCATTTGGGTAAGGAGGCTTACCCACAAGCCTGACCAGCCTGAGCTGGATTCCTGGGAACCACGTGGACCCTTTGGCCTCCACAAGCTGGAACACACACACAGTAAATAATGAATGTAAAAACCCCGGAGGAAGCAGGGCTGCTGGGCTGGCTTCCAGATGATGACCAGTGTTTACCCCATTGCTGCTCCTGCCGTTGCTAGACTTTCCTCCCCACATCAGGACCAGTTCTCCAGACCTAATGCGGACTGAAGAGCAGAGATTTTGCAGGATTCTTTCCGGCCTTCAGTGTGGAGGTGGAACTGCTGAGGCATCCAGCTTCGTGGACAGAGAAGGGTTCACCACTCTGGGGGTGCAGGGAGCCTCTGATGGATGTCTCAGCCCTACTGTGTAAGCCATTCTAGCAAACTCCTTTTATAATATATATCCATTCTGTTTGTCCTGTTCCTCTGTAGGGAATGCTTATAGCAAAATTAGCACTAGAACTCAAATAGTTCTGAAAATTTCCCCATGTTTTATATGCTTTGTGTATTTAATAATATATTAAGGACAAAGAAGGTATTTAATTTCAAATACCACTTTATATTTGGTCTCTATGATATTTAGCACTACTTAAATACTAACTATAACCTCTTTATCTTGCAAAGCAATAGGTTTCACCCTGGCAGTTTCATTGTAAGTTCTTTTTGTTGGTCTTCCCTCCTCTCCATAGCTCCCCACTTCATCTTTCAATTCTCCACCTGAAGAAGCTTCCTTTCTCTGTTTATGTCACATGGATTCTATCTCTGATCCCTTCCTCAAAAACTTTTCCCATCCTTTCTATCCCCCTTTAGTCTTTAAAAAAAAATATATTTTATTTTTACGTGTGTGCATGTTTTGCCTGCATGTATCGTATTTATGTCTGTGTACCATGTGCATGCCTGGTGCCCACAGAGGTCAAAAGAGGTCATCAAACCCACTAGAACAAAGGTTACAGGAAGCTGTGAGCCATCGCGTGGGTGTGGGGAATCAAACCCGGGACCTCTGGAAGAATATCCAGTGCCCTTAACCACTGAGCCATCTCTCCTCCCCTCCCTCTAGTCTACACACACACACACACACACACACACACACACACACACAAGGGAGAACTGCAGTGTTTTTCTGAGTATGTGTTGCCTCACTTATAAGAATTTCCAGATCGCCGGGCGGTGGTGGCGCACGCCTTTAATCCCAGCACTCGGGAGGCAGAGGCAGGCGGATCGCTGTGAGTTCGAGGCCAGCCTGGGTTACCAAGTGAGCTCCAGGAAAGGCGCAAAGCTATGCAGAGAAACCCTGTCTCGAAAAAACAAAAAAACAAAAAAACAAAAAAACAAAAAAAAAAAAGAATTTCCAGATCTATCCATTTTCCTAATTTTTCTCTTTAAACAGATAAATAAAATCCAGATGTGGTACCACATTCCCATTATTCATTCATCGGTTCACGGACACATAGGCTGACTCATTTCCCACCTTGAACACAGCCACAGTGAACATGCATGTGGGGGCTTCTCCGTGCTAGGATGTAGAGCCCTTCGGGTATACAGCCAGGATCACTCTAGCTGAGTCATATGGTAATTTGATTTTCAGTTTGTTCTAATACACCTCCACCCTGATTTCCATGGTGGCTGCACCACTTACACTCCCACCAGCACTTGAATAAGAGTCTCCTCTCCACAAACCCACAACTGCATTTGTTATCATTTGTTTTCCAGATAATAGCCACGCTACCTGAGGTAAGATCCAGTCTCTCAAGGTACTTTTAATTTGCATTTCCCTGGTAGCGAAGGACAGTCTGCTGGTCACATTTGTTTGCTATACACAAACTAGAGACACCTGGAAAGAGGAAACCTCAACTGAGGTGTTTCCTCTATCAAACTGGCCTGTGGGCACATCTGTGTGGTATTTTCTTGATGCGAGTGGATGGTAGGGGACTCAGCCCACTGGACAGTACTCCCCCCGACAGGTGGTCCTGGGAAGTATAATAAAGGTAGCTGACTATGAGCCTGGGAACAAGCCTGCAAGCAGCTTTTCTCCATGGCCTCTGCTTCACTCCCTGCCTCCAGGTTCCTGCCTTGACTTTGCTCAGTGATGAACCATGACATGGAAGTATAAGATGAAATAAACCCTTCCCTTCCGAAGCTAGCTTTGGTGGGTGTTTGATCACAGTCACAGAAGGCCAACCAGGACACAAATTGGTACCAGAGAGTGGGATCTTTCTATGACGGAGTTGACCATATTGTTTTGAGGGGAGGCTTGTGGGAAGCTTTCAGAGTTTTTGTCTTGAAAAGCCATAGGGTCCTCCCAGCTTCTCCAAGTCTGTGGGAGTTTAGGAAATAATGCTGAGGCAACTGAAGAGGATGGAGTCCTGGCTTGGAAGGACTCAAAGACACAACCAGGTTGTGACCCTCAAAGACACCACCAGGGCAAATCATGTGCTATATTTAAGAGTCTGGAAGTAAAGGCTTTGTTTTATCGGGACAATAGACACTAGTAGACTGCGGTTGAGAAGTCAGCTGTGATTACCAAGAGACCAGCATCGTTGAGAGGAAGGCACTTCCTCAGGGTCAGCTCACAGAAGCTGTGATCCAGTCAAGTGTCGGAGGCAAGGCTGCACATGAAGCTGGCAGCAGAGCTTTGTAAATGATGTGCCCCGTGTGGTACCGACTTCAGCATCATGAAGGCTGCAGGTCTGAAGGGGTCAAGGAGAGAGGTTGACACTTGTCACCATGAGCCAGGGTTGGAATCCCCAAAGAGGCCATTGGTGAAGGTGAAGCCTCAGGTGCAGTGAAGGCCCCTGGTATTAGAGACACCAGAACCATGAGATGACCATCAAGGAAGGTGCAGAGGGGAGCTAGCCTTAGCCTTCTAGACAAGCTGTGCGCTGTGCATCGCAGAGGCAGAGAAGTAGAGATGCACAAGCCCTTCGGAACCAGAAAATCATGAGTGAGTCCCTGATTACTGAGTTATTTTCACTGTTGGATTTTGATTTTGCCTTGAACTGGTTGTGATTGTGCACTGATTCTTCTCTTGGAGTAAGAATGTATTTGGCTTGATTTGGAAACACTCATAGTTAAGAGACTTGAATCTCAAACGAGTCATTGAACTTTTAAATCATTTAGAAATTTTAAAATGTATGCAGTGTTTTCTTTCTTCCTCCCCCAGCCCCCCCCCTTTTTTTGGGGGGGGGTTTCGAAACAGGGTTTCTCTGTGTAGCTTTGTGCCTTTCCTGGAACTCACTCTGTAGCCCAGGCTGCCCTCGAATGCACAGAGATCCACCTGTCTCTGCCTCCTGAGTTTGTTTTCTTTTATGATATTGATTAAGATCCTTGGTACAAGCGAGAAAGGAAAGGATTTAGTCTTATAGTGACATGTTTGCGTGTCAAGTTGAACACTTTTTTAAAATGTGCATTCTTGTTTCTTCTTCTGAGAACTGTCTGTTCAGTCTATTTGTCCATTTATTGATTGATATTTTTGTTTTGTGTGTGTATAATTTTCACAGTCCTTCAAATAGTCTAGATAATAATCCCCTGTCTGATGTTAAGGTCTTCGATCAGTTTTCAGTTTATCTTTGTGCAGTTTGAGAGATGTCAATATGTATTCACTCTTGCAGGTGGATATACAATTTTGCCAGCACTGTTGGATAGTCTTATCTTTTATCTCAGGTATGTTTTTTACACCTTTGCAAGTATTTGGTGGCCACAGCTGTGTATATTTATTTCTAGGTCCTGTATTCTGTTTTATTGGTCTATATGTGTGTGTGTGTGTGTGTGTGTGTGTGTGTGTGTGTGTGTGTGTGTTTGTACTTAATACCCTTGTCCCTATGACATTGTGGTATAATTTGAGGTCAGATGTTTTGATAACTTAACCTTATTCATTATTTATTTATTATTTCCTATCTCCTGGATTTACTTTTGATAGGCCATATGCATTTGAAAATTTGTTCATTTCTTCTTGGTTTCTAGCTTTTTGGAATGTAAGTTTTCAAAATATTCCTTAATTATCTCTTGGATTTGGGAATGGCTCTCCATAGTGCCAGACTCATTTTTACTATTTTTAAAGGTTTCTTTGTTTTCATTTTATGTGTATGAGTGTTTCACCCGGATGTCTGTATGTCCACCATAGTAGCAGGACCTTGGGGCAGTCGTCCCATCACACTCACAGTCAGGTGTCAGGGAGGGATGGACACGCGCTGCCTCCAGGCTTCCCTTCTCCATTTATACAGTCCGGGATCTCAGCCAGGGCCTGGCATGGCACACAGTTAGAAGAGTCTTCCCACCTCAGTTAATACAACCAAGATGTATTCCCACAGGCATGCCCAGAGGCCCATCTCCCAGGGGATTCTAGAGTCTGACAAGTTGACAACCAACATTAACCGTCACAGAGGTAAAAACAGATCAATCGTAATATATGTTTGCCCAGAGCTGCTGCTATAAAGTAATTATTAGCTGTTAGATGACATTTTAGAAAAACCAAACAAAAAAGCAATCAACAGCTTCCTGTGTAAATTTTGGGGTCTATCCTGCTGTTCAAAGGGCCCTCTCTTAGATATGTTTCTTTAAATTAAGGGCAGAATCTTCCTCCACCCCCTAAGTTCATTTTCTGGCATAAAATACAGGATATTGTAGGCACTCATTAATGTTAGTTAATTGAAGGAATAAATAACAAAATGTAAATTATTCTTGGTATAAAAATGAACCCCAAATGGTCCCTGCATAGCTTATTTATTTACCAACCTAAATCATTTATTTGAAGTCTTTATTGTTTGTGTACTTGATTAACGCCCCCTCCCCACTCTCCTCTTTTTCAAGGTCTTAAGTAGTTGAGGCTGGCCTGGAACTTACCATGAGGCTCAGGCTGCCCTTGAACTTGGATCCTCCTATCTCAGCCCCTGTCCCGTCCTCATCCCTGTGCTGTGATTTACAATCATGAGTACACTTTTAAATAATCCAAAGCCTATCTGCTTTGATTGATCCAAGAATGGCAACCAACATTTGTTTATCCTTAGATAAACATAACCCTGGAACTATATTAAGCCCTCTAACACTGCTGCCCTAGGTAATTTGCTCATTGTTAATAAAAAACTGATTGGCCAATAGCAGGGCAAGAAGAAATTGGGTGAGTCAACCTGACACAGAAAGAATGATGGGAGAAGAAAGGATGGAGTCAGGAGAATTGCAAGAGAAGCCAGCCAGCCCCAGAGCAAGCAAAACCAGCCAGCCCCTGAGCCAACAGGACATGTAAAAACTGAGGTAACAAGCCATGAACCACGTGGCAAAGTATAGATAGAATATGGGTTAATTTACATGTAAGAGTTAGCTAATAACAAGCCTGAGCTATTGACCGAACATTTATAATTAATATAAGTCTCTGTATGTTTATTTGAGAGGGCTGCAGGACAGGAAAACTTCTGTCTACAATAATTCCCTGGCCCAGACACATCCAAAGCTATATCACCTAGCCATAGACCCCTTTCTTTGATGACCCTTTCCCTTTGGACTAGGGTCCTCACTCCATTTTCTCCAAAAGGTCTCACAGCTGGAAGGATTTCCTGCCCCAGTATGCAAACTGGTCAGGACACCACCCACTGTGTACTGTGTGCTACTGCCACCTGGTGGTCACATCTTTTTGTCCTAGCTCTGCTTGCTGACCTCATGGCAGGGCCCGTGCCTGCAAGAGAAGCAATCCAGTTGTTTGTGTCACTTTCTCAAGCCTGTATACCACCCCTGACATTCTCCTTTTGTTATTTTTTTAAATACACACAAATGTTGTCACTCATCAAAAAAATTCTGAAGCCAGAAATCCAGGATGATACTCAGAAGTCATTTCATTAAACCATGCCCTATATAGGTGAGAAAATATGGGTTCAGACTTCTATCAAATTTAGATCCTACTAATCCCAGCTGCTTGGGGGGCTTCATAGCCTGAGATACAGAGTTTAAGTTAGCATAAAACTACTGTGGAGAAGCCATTGAGGAAGACACCCAACAGGAACTTCTGCCCTCCACAGGCACCCACAAGGGAGAACACACACATATACACAGGCATATGTGCCCACACACAAATTATTCACAAAAATTGTTAAATGGAGTATAGTGTAGAAGTCTTCATTGTTAATCATGAATTTTTATAATTTGTCTGTATAAAATGATGTACAGAAAAACGGCATAGAAATATTCTTAATATTTTGGGGATAAATTATAAAATGTGTGTTGCATTTATATAAGAAGAAATAAAAGTGAACATGAAATATTAAATAGTTATATATGCATCTGAGTATTAGCTAATAAGAGGGAAATTTGTTTGGCTTATCTGTAATTTCTAAACCTCCTCTAATAAAAACTGTGAATTGCTTAATAAGAAAAATCATTATTTCAGAAGTAAATTATGGGGACTGAAGAGGTGACCTAGTGGCGAAAAGCCTATAATGCTCTTGCAGTGGTCCTGATTTCACTTCCCAGCACCCTACACAGGAGGCTCCCAACCACCTGTAACTCTAGCTCCAGGGGATCTGATGCCTTCTTCTGGCCTCTGTGGGCACTGGCACACATGTGCACATACCCACACAAAGCACACACACACACACACACACACACACACACACACACACACAGACATGCACACATAACTAAAAAAAAATAGATCTTTAATAAAAAAAGTAAATTATCAAAGCAAGTTGTAGGATGAGATGAACCACATTATCCAATGGGATTCTCTGGAAGGATAAAAAACGTTCTGAGTTTGCATTGTCCAATACAGTGATGACTGGCCATGAGGGACTACTGAGCATGAAACGCAGAGTGCCACTGAAGAGCTGATTATTTTCTTTAACTTACCTAGTAGCTACATATGTGGTATCTCAGGATAGATGGTTAGTAGCCACCATGGTAGGGCGGGGTTGCCTATTTCTGGTTGAGCACAGTCCAAGCACACATTAAAACTGTTCTGTCATTATGAAGGTGAGTGCATATGTTTGGGGACTTGTTTTCTCCTAAATTATTCTTCTGTAACTTATGACAAACGTGTGAAATAAACCACCTGCTCAATGTAGTTTCTTTGGGAAACAATTCCTGTTGCAGCAATCCACAACAGAAGCTAGTAAGCTAGATAGGGCTTTGCCGGCTTCTTGCTGTTCCAGTCCTGGGGGAAAATAGGTGGAAGATTTATTTACCAAGTCAATGAAAGCAAGGTCACAGTGGTGAGGCAACGTGTGTATGAATAAGAGTTCCAAATCAGAGAGAAACTCGGAGCTGCATCTGAGATAATTAAAATAATATTTTTATTATTTCCTCTTCACTTGCTTTGAACACAGTCAATATCTTACCCCGCCAGGAGCAGATATTGAACCATGTTTCCTTGTCTTTGTTTCACAGGAAGATGGCTTTTGATCTTTTCACTGAGGGGGGGGGGGAGTGTGTGCACACACACCCACACAATCAAAATAGGAATTTGCTTTTTGGGTAAAGTGGGAGGAAAAGCCAACAAGGAAAAAACAGGAAATCCTCATTCACATCTCTATTGATTTCAAACTAAGAACAGAACATAAGGAGAAAGAAACACTTCAGGGTCCCATTTGGAGAGCTCCAGGCCTTCTCTTCCCAAACACCCTGGGACTCAGTGCTCAGCTCTCCCTTCAGTACCAACCAGGCCTGACCCTGCTTAGTCTATGACACCAGGCAAGCCTGAGTGCACTCAGAGTGGTATGGCCACAGATAGTCTCTCTAACACGGGTAAGTGCCATATGTTGAGATTAACCACCCCAGTTCAACAGTATCTCTGATTTCTGTGAGATGAGTAAAAATTAGCTTCCGACTCATGCAAATGAGTTAATCATCTGCAGTGATGTCTTATCTCATGGGTCTCAGCAGGGAATTAAGACTTACCCACTTAAATTTTGATTTAGATCATTAATAGGAAATATTTTTCTATTTTTTATAATTATCATTTTTCTTTTAAGCCACATATCACCCTTCTCTATTTCCTCTTTGAATCTCCAGTTTGGAGAAAAGATCTATATTTTTATGAATAGTTTAAAAATGACATTGCTCATTAGTTTGATTGTGTTCTTTTGAGGGAGGGACCTTCCCTTCCTGTTACCTTTGCAGGTCTTATAACTGAAGAAACAAAATCCATTGTATGTTTGCATATATATAGTAAGTAGGAACATTACTAAGAACTGTCTGGCTTTTAAAATGTATTTACTTAGAAGGATTCAGAATGCTAACAAAACAGCTGCATTCTGTTTTTTAAATTATAGAATAGTATTCAGTCAATAGAACAACAACTACTTTCATATAAACTACATCAGATGAAAATAATCTACAAAATGATCTATGAAGTCAGATGCAAATCTTTATAACTAACTATATAACTAACAAATTTGTGCAATGAACCAAATTTGAGCTTTAAATTTCCAAGCACATTTACAACCCCAAGACAGCACTAGCCAAGACTGGTGGCTATGGAAACCACCACCAGGATTCCTTGAGAACACACCAGCAGAGCAGGCCAGGGAAAGGGGTTAGCTAAGACCTCACCACCCGCTCCTCTCCTCCAAACCTAATCCCCCAGGCTCATGCCCACTCCCGCCCCATCTCCTGAGGATCACAGAGATCTTCCCTTCTAACTCCCTTCCTCCACTTGTTTTATCCCAGGCCCCAGCTCCCAACAGGCACTCTGCTCCTCACTAACCCACAGACGGCGCCAGGCAGGGAGGCAGGTAGCCTGACTGCATATCTTCCCCTCTTCCTCTGTTCCTGCAGACCCAATCCCCCAGGCTCACCCCCAGCTCTGCACCTGAACACCTGCTGCAGCCTTCCTTGCCCCCCTGTCCTCATCTGCTATTGAACCCACAGATCTTCTCCTCTGTCTCAGTTAGGGTTTCTACTGCTGTGAAGGGACACCATGACCAGGAAACTCTTACAAAAACAAACAAACAAAAAAACACACAAAAAAACATTTAATTGTGGTGGCTTACAGTTCAGAGGTTCAGCCCATCATCACAGGGCATGGCAGTGTGCAGGCAGACATGGTATGAGAGGTAGCTGCTAACGTTGGTATGCAGACAACAGGAAGTAACTGTCTCACTGGGTATGGCTTGAGCACATATGAGACCTCAAAGCCCGCCTCCACAATGACACACTTCCTCTAATAAGACCACACCTACTCCAACAAGGTCACACCTCCTAACAGTGCCACTCCCTATGGGCCAAGCATTCATACACATGAGTCTCTGGAGGGCCATTCCTATTTAAACCACCACACCCTCCTAAACCTCTTCCCCCACCTGTTGCTTTACCCCAATCCCCAACTCTAGCAGGCACTGTAGCAGACCTGCTGGGGTGACCTCTCCTCACACTCTACCACCATTCCAAGGAGCCTACATAAGCTGATCTTTGTAGAACCTTCTGCTCTCCTCCCTCCTGTGAACCCCTTTAAGCCCCTAGCCTATCCTTGTTCCTAAGTGGGTATTCCCAATACCTAGACACATATTTTGCCTGTGAACCCCTTCAGACCCGTAGCCTATCCCTAGTCCTAAGCAGGTATTTCCAATACGCAGAAGCACATTTTACCTGGAACCCTCATGGCCACACCTATCAGGTCCACAAAAAAATGTCCTACCAGACTATACACAGCCACCACACACTCCTAAAAACCAGAGATGAAGCAGAAACCAAGAAACAAACACTGACCCGACAAAGACAAAACCAGATACGAGCACCTAGAACTCTAAACTTCCCAGTCCCACATGCTTAGATTCTGGCGTAAAAACACAATGACAGCCAAGACAACGTGTCTCCACTGGAGTCCAGCAACCCTGCCACAGCAGGTCCTGAGTATTCCAACGGAGGTGAAGCATGAGGAAGATGGTAAAACTGCCTGTATGAAGAGGATAGAAGTCCTTAAAGAGAAAACAAATAAATCCCTTAAATCTAAGAAAATATAAACAGTGGAAGGAAATTAATAAAACTGTTGAAGACCTGAAAATGGAAATAAAACCAATAAAGAAAACCCAAACAGGGAAATTCTAGAAATGAAAAATGTAGGAACTTGAACAGGAACTACAAAGGCAAACACAAAATGGAAGAGAGAGTCTTGGATGTTGAAGATGCCACAGGAGCAATGGATACATTGATCAAAGAACATGATAAAGCTAAACAAAAACAAAACAAAACAAAAAAAACTGACATAAAACATTTAGGAAGTCTGGAACATGATGAAAAAAAAATCTAAGAATAATAAGAGTAGAGGACAGGGAAGAAAGCCAGATCAAAGGCCTAGAAAATATTTTCAACAAAATCATAGAAGAAAATTTCCCTAACCTAAAGAAGGAGATGCCTATCCAGGTATAAGAAGCCTACAGAATACCAGATAGATTGGACCAGAAAAGGAAGTCCCCTGGGCACATAATTATCCAAACACTAAACAGACAGAAGAAAGCAGGAATGTCAAAAGCTGCAAGGGAAAAAGAGCAAGGAACATGTGAAGGCAGATCTATTAGAGTTACCCCTGACTTCTCCATGGAGACTCTAAAAGCCAGACGGGCCTGACAGATGTGCTGTAGACTCTAAGAGACCACAGATGCCAGCCCAAACTACTATACACAACAAAGTTTTCAATCACTGTATATGGAGAAAATAAGACATTCCATAATAAAACCAAATTTAAGCAACACTTATCTACAAATCCAGCTGAACAGAAGGTGCTAGAAGGAAAACTCCAACCTAAAGAGCTCAACTTCAATGATGAAAACATGGGTAATAAATAATCTCAGTCTAGCTAAATTAAAAGAAAGGAAACACAGACAGACAGACAGATACACACCCACCACCACCACCACCACCACCACCACCAACAACAACAACAACAACAACAAAATTACATGAATCAACAATCACTGGTCATTGATTTTTCTCAACATCGATGGTCTCAGTTCGCCAATAAAAAGACACAGACTAACAGAGGATGGGAAAACAGGATACATACTTCTGTTGCATCCAAGAAATGCACATTAACATCGAGAATAGACATCACCACAGGGGAAAGGGGTGGAAAAGAATATTCCAAGCAAATGGAACTAAGAAGCAAGCTAGGATAGCCATTTTAATATCTGGAAATAATAGATGTCAAACCAAAACTAATCAGAAGAGACAGGGAAAGATATTACATACTCATCAAAGGAAAAATCCACCAAGATGACATTTCAATTCTTTTTTTTTTTTGTTTTTTGTTTTTTTGTTTTTTTGTTTTTTTTGTTGTTGTTGTTTTTTTGAGACAGGGTTTCTCTGTG